AACTTCTTGTGAAGAAAATCAGATGGGAATCGTGCTGTATTTTATAATCTGATGGCTTGAATCAGGCTTAGGGAAAAAAAATTTCCTTAGTTTATTTTTCCTAATATATTATTTGATCTATGTTAATCTGGGGATTTTTTAGGTATGTTAAAATTGGGATTTTTTATGTGATTTGGAAGTTCTCTATCAGATTGTTCCTCTATTTTTCCTAATTTCTTTGAAATGTTGTTCAATTTAGGGATTTTTAAAAGCTATTGTTAAATTTATACTTCAATGTAAACAGTGGTTCTCTTTCTCTAAAGCTTGCATTATAAACAGTGGTTACAATTTTCCTCTATCTCTATATCTATCTATCTCCATACCCATCAAGCATTCGTGATGTAGTTCAATTTGGGGATTTTTGAAAATTATTTATCTTTATTTTTTCCTAATTTCTTTGAGATGTTTATCTTTCTCTCTGTGTACCCATCGATGAGATGTCCTCTATCACATGGTTCTCTTTGAGTGTACCATGGAGGATTGTTAATAGAAATGTTTTTTTGAAACGACTTCTTATAAAAATTAAAAAAATTTGTATTAAACTTCTTCATGAAAAAAATGCGATTTTTTTACGCTCTTTTGAAAAATACGCAGTTTAAAACGTTTTTAAAAAAAACTCCGACTTTTTCAAAAATCGCGTTTAAAACGCCGTTTTGCTAACTATGGGAGAGAATGAGGGAGACCATGACAGAATGAAGGAGGGGTGACGGAGTGGAGATGGACCCGCCATTAACGCAGGTTGGTGACAGAGGAGGGAGTGAAAGTGAGAGGATAAGGGAGAAAAAAAAGGGGGCAGCAACCTTGTTGTTGTCCCGTGCTCTGTGAAGGCAACAAGTAAGCGATGGGGAGTAGAGAGGGAGAAAGAGAGAAAGAGAAAAAGAGAGAGAATAAGGCAGAGATAAGGATGAAGAGAAGATAAAAAAAAAGAGAGACGAGAATGAGGGAGAGGGATAGAAAGAAGATAAGGAGAGAGTGAGACAAGAATAAAAGGAGGGGGAATATAGATGAAAATGTGAGGGGGAGAGAGAGTGAGATACATGTTTTTTTAAGGAGAAAGATTTGGAGAGAGAAAAAGAGAGAATGGACATAATAAGAGAGAGAGAGACAGAATAGTTATGTAGAGGAGAGAGAGTGAGAGAATAGTTACGTAGAGGAGAGAGAGAAGAAAGGTGAATGAAAGAGAATGGGAGAATGGAGAGAGAGAGAATTTAGGAAGTAGAGAGATTGAGAGAGGGGCAGTAGTCACAGACTCGCTATGGGTCCATACACAGTAGGAAGAGAGGAGAGATTGAGGGAGAAAGAAGAGGAGAGTGGGAGTGAGGGCAGGGACAACAGTCACAAACCTGCTATGGGTCCCTGCACAGTAGGAAGAGATGAGAGATTAAGGGAGAAAGAATGGGAGAGAGGGAGTGGAGGCAGCAGCCACGGACCCACTGTAGGTCCTTGTACAGTAGGAAGAGAGGAGAGATTGAGGGAGAAAGAAGTGGAGAGAGGGAGTGGGGGCAGAAGTCACGGACCCGCTATGGGACTGTGCATAGTAGGAAGAGATGAAAGATTTAGGGAGAAAAGAAGGGGAGATAGGGAATGGGCCTGTGAATATGGTGAGAGAGAGAGAGGAGAGAAAGAAAGGAGGGCTCGGACCTGATGTGGGTCAGGGCAGAGGGGAGAGAGAGAGTGAGAGAGGAGGGGGCTCGGACCCGCTGTAGGTCCGAGGGAGAGAGAGAGAGAGAGAGAGAGAGAGAGAGAAAGAGAGGGAGGGAGGCCTCAAACCTAATGTTGTGAGTTTGAGTGGAGGAGAGAGAAAGAGAGAGAGAAGAGAGAAATAAAGGAAGAAAGAAAGAAGAGGAGAGTGGAGAGGAGAGAGTCGACTTAGACGACTCGGGTTTGGTGTACCTTCATGGGTCCCTTTGCATACATTTGAAAGAGAAGCCTTGGTCTTTGTAGGTCATGGATAGGGTCTAAGGTCTAGATGTATGGCTTAGGTTGGTTGGGGTGAGGTATGGTGAATGAAAGTTAGGGTGCATAGGCTAAATTAGTATGCATGGGAGCCTTGGGGTGTATAGGTTCTATAGTGTATTAGTGTGACTAAGGTGTATGGGATAAGGTAGGATGTAGGAAAGCTAGGATGTATGGTACTATGGTGTATGGAGTAGGGTAGGGTGTAAGAAAGCTAAGATAGGGTGTAGGGTGTATGGAGTAGGATTGGGAGTTAGAGTTCTAAGATAGTTAGAATTTTGGGATTCTAGGGAGTGAAGGGTTCCTAGGGGTATTTTCTTCTCTCTCCTCTAACCTTGAGTTTTAAGTTTGAAACCAAAGCAAAAGTGCAAGCCTAAATCTTAATTTCAAGAGCTTTCAAGAAAAAAATTCTTAAGAATTCTAACCTTGAGTTTTAAGTTTGAAACCAAAGCAAAAGTGCAAGCCTAAATCTTAATTTCAAGAGCTTTCAAGAAAAAAATTCTTAAGAATTCAAGAGAAAGTATTGCAAATGATTGAGTTCCTTATATAAAACAATCCTAAAACAAGAGTGGATTGCTCAAAAACAACCAAATATGTCAAAAAAATACACATTTAATGAATTAAAATATTAATCTCATTTTTTGATCAAATGACTAAAATACCCTTCAACATTTTTCAACAAATAATAAAATTATCGCTCCATAGGGGGCTTCTTTCCATTGCTAGGCCTCGGGAACTTTTTTGGACGCTTACGGTGGTAATTCAGGCGTTGTAGAATTAATGCTTGAATCATTACACGTTTTGATACCATTTGATCGTCTTGAAACGGATTTTTAAAAAAGAACCCAAAATCCGGCCAAGTTCCATAAATTTGTGATTCTTCGATCACCAATTCGACACGATTCATGACATTCCAAGCCTTTATTTTGATCACAAATTAAAGATGATACTATCACTATCATTTTGTGACAAATTTTGTCCATTTTGGTCTCTCACTCTCACTATATTAGATATTATTTTTTATGATTTCTCTCTCCCCCATATTTCTCCCTCTCCCTCTTTCCTAAATTTTCTCTCCCTCTTGTAGTTTTTTTTATCTCTCACTTCCTCTTTCCTAAAATCTCCCTCCCTCTCTTTATATCTCTCTCCACACATCTCTCTCTCTCTCTAATTCTCTCTCCTCGCATCTCTCTCGCTCTCTCTAACTTTCCCTCTTCACACATCAAATTTCCCTTTTTTTTTTTTTTTCATAGAGATAAGCATGATTTTCATCTTCTTATATGGGATTTTCTTTCTTTCATACTATTTCATATATTAAATATTCTTTCCTATAATCTCCTCTCCCACTCTCACTCTCTCCCAATATTTATCTCTCCCTCTTTCCTAAATTTTTTCTCCCACTCTCTCCATCTCTATTGTTTTTCTATTTCTCTCTCCCGCTTTCCTAAAATTGACTAAGGTATCTCTCTTATCATAGGGATGAATGAGATTTTGGACTCTATTTTTCTCTCTCCCTCTTTCGTCAAGTATCTCTCCCTCCTAAAATGTTTCACCCACTCTCTCCATCTCATTTATATGATCGTCTTAAATTTTTTTCTTCTCTCTATGGTTTTATCAAATTCTCTCCCCTCTACTGATTTCTCATTCCCAATCTTTCTTCTCCATCTACGGTTTTCTCAAATTCTCTCCCTCTATTGATTTCTCATTCCCTATTTCATTGTAGGTAACGAAACTTTTTGGTTGCTATCTCCATCGGAAACCATCAATTTGATTGCGACCCACCCATCCAAATTGAGCTTGATAGTGAGTAATGCAGCTTATATTACATAAATTTTTTGTTTATTCTTAATGTTAAATATTTTTGTTCACCCAATAACTTTTTCTGTTATAGTCCTCTATAATCACAAGTATTTAAGATTTAGGCTATGTTCTTTAATATTTCATAATCTCATGTCTTTGTGAGCTTCCTGATTATTTCTAATGCCCTAGAATTTTGTCTTCAATGGTTTTTTAAGTAAATCTCAAATGTAGGCAACTACTTTGAACTTTTCATGTTCTTTTATTGACTGGTTTGCATGTTACCATGAATAATGCATTTTCTACTTTATATGATTGTGATATGAATGGTCGTTACATTACCAAATTGTGCCAAAATAATATATTTTTTGTTCAAATCTTATAATTATATATTATTTTTGTCCCCAAAACGTAATTCAAAAAGTAAAAATGAAAAAGAAAATTAATTGTAAAAAGTAGGTATTTGTAAGAATAATTTATTTTTATTAGAAATTTAATGTTATAATTATTCGATAATTGTAATTACAAATTATATTGTTTTAAAAATTTTATTATTTTAAAATTTATCATTTTTTCCATGTACAATCTCTCTCCTCTTTATCTTCATGATTGGATAATAAATATGATATATATTATATTTACAATTATTATTTTGTAATAAATAAATTTAAAAATAATGTAACATAATTATAATTATAATAAATAACAAATTAAATTTAAATGAAAATAATTTATTCTTATTAGAATATTATATTTATAATTTCTCCTTGATTCCCTCGAGTTAAGTACACATTTCTATACTAATTATAAAAATTAGATATTGGTAAAAATCATATATTTTTTATTCAAATCTTATAAATATAATTAATTTTGACCCCCAAAAGTAATTAAAAATTAAAAACAAAAAACCTTGCTACGTGAAAGGCAAAAAAATAGATAAAGGCAAGATGGAATGCTTCCTGGTAGGCTTTCATGAAATCATTTTCCTCGGTAAACAATCTCAATAGAAGCACACTAATGCTCGAACCAATGGCATCAAAGACGATCACAATGTAAGGACCAGGCAACTTGTTGCAAAATTGAATGCAATTGTGATTCACACAATCCCAAGATATTAACTTGATGAGAATAACTCAACAGAAATCGCTCTGGACACAAACCAAGTACATGCACTAACGGTGTTTGTGTTCTCGTTTGCCAAGGAAAAAGAAAAAACACAGACACCTCCATATTTTCTGAGAGGTTTTCTTTCTTTCACCTCAGGATTTAATTTTGAAGAGCCAAAGATGCCAATTATCCCGAACAAGACTGCCAATGTGCACAGGTGTACAATCACAAGAGTTGCATATGGTTTCACACACACATCTCAGCCAGTCTCGAGAGAGATTGAAAAAGAAAACCATCTCCAAACCTAGACAGGATAAGTAGAAAAATATAGATGTATATATATATAGTGTCACAAGGCATGCTCAGAGCCTTCGGTTGATTGGTGCAAGCACAGTCTGTTCTCTGTACTGTACAATTCCACACGATGACCAACACATTTCATGGAAATGCTTACCTCAGACTCATCAGAACAGTACTTTTTCCCTTCAGCACACAGCATCTATCATCATCTCTTACGGCGTTTTGGTTCAACCTGTAGTTAATTGTTCAAAATTTTAGAGTAGTAAATTGCTATCATAAGTACACAAAAAGAAAGCATCTACACAATCAAGCAGGAGAAACCTTCACATGAGACCATGATAAGTAACAAGTAAAACATTAACATATAGAGGGGGTAGCATCATAAGGATGTCTGCCCTTTGGTTCCAATGCCAAGAACTGAGCTTTCTATGGGATGGAAAGGCCTATAGCATAATACATATGTATTAGATATCAGCTGTTGCTGTAATCTCAAGAAAAGTAGCTAGTGAATGCTCTCAAGAAAAGTAGCTAGTGAATGCGCTTTCGGACCAAAAACAGGATTTACTATATTCTAGATAGAAAAGAAGTCAGGGAGACATGAGTAATCACAATCACATTAAATAGCACAAAACTCTAATAGTTTATGTTTTGAAATTACTCCATTAGTCTATTAATTATTAGAGAGATTCTCATTATTTATAACCTCTAATAATCACCAAAAAAGTTTCACCAAGGATATGAATTACTTTAGAGAGTCTTCTGTAAACAGGATATTAAATATTACTAATTAAACTCTTAATGCATAGGAGAGGAAATTAGGAATGCAGCTAATTAAGGAAAGATAAAAGCCAGCATCTCAGTAAGCTGCCAAATGGCTATTCGGATACTTTTAACACTGTTGAGAAAACTAACATTATCAGATTAGTAAAGAAGATATGTAATACTCGTAAAGCAGCTCTCACTCCATATTAAAGGGGAGACCTTTAAAAATCTTGTTTCAAAGTAAAGATTATAGCTGATAAATTCAGTGGGCTATTAAAATGCTGGTCAGACAGACCTTTAATAACTTTCAAGAACTTTTCTCACCCATGTTTTCCTATCAATAACATTTGTGAACCTTTCTCACCCATGGTTTCCTATCAATAACATTTGTGAACCTTATTAACATAATATGATCTAAACAACATTATTCACAGATGGGATCAGTATCTAGACGACCAAGACACTGGCACTATTTTAAGTCGGGCATACTTCAAATGAATTGCTTTATACTATTACACATATCAGTACCAGAGAAGTCACAAATAACAAGCAACATAACGCCATTCGAATCTAATCGAAAGTTTTCTCACTAGCATCAGCAAATAGAAGTTCAAAATGCTCACCTTTGGCTCGGCAAGTGGCGACACAGGATATGAGTTGCGAGATCTTTTGTCATCATCTTCAGAGGAACAATCAGAACACAAAAAGTGATCTAACTTTTTAGCTTGCTCAATACTCATTCCCATGCAGGAAGGATGAAACCTTCAAGGTCACAAATCATATCCAATCAAAATCCTATAACATGAAAGTATCAGCTAACCAAATGCAAGGAAAAATTTCAATGATTCCAATATGAAATATGCATAGCTTATGATTAAAAAAAGACGGTGCATATCTTTAGTTGTATGTTACACATTATGATGCAGAAAAATTCAACTTATTTTAAATTTTTGTTTAATTTCAAATAATGCATATTTTTATTTCAATTTAGGTATATTTTTAGGATTTTTAATTTTGTTAAGGGATTCAAGGGTTTTTTAATATCTTTTGGATTTTAAAAGTCGTTTAGAAAAGTAGTTAAAGTGCTCATGGAATAATTTGTTTTATCAAGGATAAAATTATGGATTTTATTTTAATTAGGACTTCTATTTCAATTAGAATTAGGATTTCTCTAAGTAAGGTCTTTTATTATAAAGGGCTCTGTAGAAAATTTGGATTACAGAATTGAATTTTGAGATATTTTTCTAGTTTGATCAGTGCAGAGAGTCATTGAGGCCTAGCTTGTAGGCCTCCTCTTTAATTTTCCAATCAACAGATTATTTGATTTTCTTCCCTGCTGAATTATTTCTGCATCACATTATCATCTATTTCACTTAATTATTCCAGGCTAAATCGTGAAACTATAATCTTTCTGCGCATTGAAACATGACTGCTTTATAAGATAAACTACAAACTTTCTCCAAAACACAACAATATTCAAGACTCATATTTCTCCAAGAATTGTAGGAAAAAACAAGAAAGATATCTCCCATTGAAGTCCACTACATATTTCAATCAACAAACATTAGATAACCAAAACAGCCAAACTTTTGTAGGCAAAAATAATGAGGGGAGCTTACTTGAAGGGAGGGGATCCATCTTTAGAATCACACTCCAATGATCTAGGAGCCACAGCTCGAGCTCGAGTGGAACTCTCTAACCCCCATCAAGGGATCTTGATCGAACTAAAAGGGATCTTGGTCCCTATGGAAGGGGGCTCGAGACTCCACTAGGGACATGATCTTGTTTGAAGAGATCTCAACCCAAGAGGAGTTACCAAAGTTTTCAATTTTGCTCCCTGTTGATTCCATGCTCATCTGCCTTCTATTGATTTTGTTTTCCATTTTCAAGGTCAACAATTTTTGTTTTCCATTTCATGGTCGTGAATTTGCATCAGTGGACCAACAAAACTCAACTGAAACCAAGGATCCCAATCTCAGAGGGCTCTATTTGGCAGTGGTTCACTATATGGAATCGCATAGTCTTTCCCAATTCAATATAAGGAGGCTTTGGGTCTTATCATGGCCCTAGAATCCCATTTTTCTCGTTCTGGTTATAGAGTTCTCATTTGCATACATACAGATAGTGCTACGGTTCTGATAGGCCACTCCAAAGTGTATTCTCTAAACCTACTCAACATTTTTGGACAAATGATACCCATAGTTCTCAACATAGCGACTTTTTATTTAGGAGTAGTTTAGGTCACTTATCAAGGGTCAAGTAAAAGTCTTAGTAGAAATACAATTGTTTATCTTTTGTAGGGAATGACATCACCCACATGAGATGTAACACGACCATATACGTATGAAACATTACTTTTTAACAGCTACAAATGCCGTTCTTCTAAAATCTCTCTTAGATACCTATATTACCATTCACTAATGACAAAACTTCGCTTAAAGAAATTGTATCAAAATTCAGCGGTAATAATTAATAAGCGTCTAATGAATGTCAAGTAGGTTAAGGGAATATCCATGAGAAGTACTTGAACATAACCCACACACACACGCACACTCAATAGAGACTCGGGAAACAAAGAGAAGATGTGTATGAACGAGATATCCAGCAACAAGAAGAAGGAAAAGGCATTCTGGGAAACGTCAACGAATGTTGACTTACTTGTCAAAGAAAAATAAAGTACACACACACACACACACACATATATATATATATATATATATATATAACTCTTAGAGCTGGAAATCCTAAGATCACCATTAGTACATGTATTTTCAGAAGGGTATCTTTGTCATTTTAAAATCCCACCAAAAGTGACTTTCAAATTTACTAAAATTACTACTTTTTTATTCATCTTAAATTTTCTAAAATTTCAAACAAGGTATGATTATTATAATTTTTAGATTTGGAAGGGTATTTTGTGGTTAAATTTAAGGAAATTCTAAAATCATCATTAGAGTGGTATATCCTAGAATAACCATAATACATATATGTGTGTATATATATATGGGTTTATCTAGAGTTAACAACCCCTCAAAATACAAAAGGTAATGTTAGAATGAGTTGTGATGGGTGTATTTATTAAAAAAATATTACTTTTTATTTAAAAAATTATTTTAATAAGTAAATCATTAAGTAATGGCAAATCTGAAATTTTCACAAAAGTACAATGGTATTTAGGGTTAGTTCATGGAACTTTATTTGTAGATTACCCTTACAAATTTCAACTTTATCCCTCGTAAAAATGACAAAAATACCCCTTATCTTTTAGTAATATTTACACAAATAACCTTACTTGATGAGCAAGATATCACAAAAAATAACTTTTTTAAAAAATAAACTATTTTTTATATTTTGGGAATTATTTGTTTTTTATTTTTATTAGATTCTCCTATTTTTGAAAAATAAACACTCAAATTTTCAAGTGATTTGGATTTGTAGAAAAAAAACAAAAATTCAAATACGAAATGAAGTCATGATTATTGGATCAAACCCAGATTCAATCTAGGCCGTTGGCTGACACTGTAGTTGTTAACCTATGGGATGACAGGATCCTTTCCCATGGAAGATACTACAAAACGCCTATAGGCGAAAATGAACAGTGATTTCGCCTACCCTCATCACCGTCCAAAGTGCATCGCACGATCACGATTGTCCCAAAGTGTTTCATTTTTCATTTTTCATTTTTTTTCTACAAATTGGAATGACCTGAAATTTGAGACGTGTGTTCATCAAAAATAGGCGAATCTACGAAAAATATCAAAAAAATATTTTCAATGAAATAAATTAACCAAAATACCCCCAAAAAATTTCGGAAGTATTTTGGTCAATTTGTTTTTCACGAATTTTTTTTTTATATTTTTATTAGCTCCAAATTTCAGATCATACCGATTTGTAGAAAAAAAATAAAAAATGAAGCACTACCGGACAATCGTGACCGTGCGATGAACTTTGGACGGCGAAGAGCGTTGGCGAAATCATTGTTCATTTTCGCC